TCCTGTTTCTCCAATCACATGTCAAAATGTTTTTATACCCTTGCTTTCTCTTTTATAGGTCTTTTCTTAGAAAAAAGAAAAAAATCCCCTGAAATGGCTTAAACCAAAGCAGCTTTGATATTTTAATTTTAACTAGCAGTTATGCATATGTGTGCATGCCTGCATGTTTGTGGGGGAGGGTAAGCATGCTTGTGAGTATCTGTGCATGCAAATGTGAGATGTTAGTCTCAGGTGTCGTTCCTTGGGAGCCAACCGCCTTATTGAGACAGTCTCTCTCACTAAATGTGAAGTGTGCTGATTCAGCTAAATTAGCTAGCCACTGATGCACACCCCCCCCCCCATATATGGCATCTTTTTGTGTGTGTGGGTGCCAGGGATCAAACTCAGTCCCTTGTGTTCACATGGCAGGCACTTTCCTACCGGAGCCATCTCCCCAGTTCCCAAAGCATCCTACGTCTGCAAAGTGGTGAACACAAGGCTGTCAAAGAGTACTTGGATATTTAAAACACAGAGCCCTCTGCAAGCTCTAAGTGGTCTTTGATAACGCTCATTATTATCAAGAGGGATTTGTTCATTCAAGGAACTTAAGAATGGCCCTGACTTTGGAAAGAGCCCTAATTTGTCTTAGTTCAGTCTTTTATAGCTCCAGTCTCTGTCCTCCCCATGAGCTTCCTTGACATTGAATAAACATCTGACTCAAGCCCCAGTCCAAGCGGAGGACCAGAGCTTCTCAGAAATTCAGTCTCTATAGCGGAAACATAAAGGAACAGCTGGTGTGGAGGGAGAGAAATGGTCCCCATGTTCATCTTCTCCAGCTGGGGCATTTGGGCAATCGAGTCACTGGTGGTTTCTGAACATCGTGTCTGGTGGGGAGGGAGATGGGAAAGGGGATGATGGGTGGGATCTCAGAGCAAAGGGCACACATGCTGCGGGTGCTTCAGTTCTTCATGGGAAGGGAAACGTTTTTCTGAGATTCAAAGGGACTTGGATGTCCATAAAATGAAAGCGCTTTGCTCTTCTTCTGCAACATGAGCTTCAAGACTAGAGCAGCAGGGTTGGATAGATTGTATAAGTCAACAAGCTGTCTAACAGGGCTTTCTTCTTCTCAATGAGAACCACCCCTACACACACACACACACACACACACACACCCCCACACACACACACACACACACACACACACACAGCTCCTTAAAATGGACTTATAATTTGGTACCCCAAATGGAAGCACCAGCCACCCATGCATTCTCTACAGTATCTCCCCTGAGGTCACAGGCACAAGCTCAATCCTAATCCTATATATGAAGATTCAAATGGCAGGCTCACCACATCACCAGGTCCAAGTTTATATTGTCTATTTATATAAACGGATTAGATCCATTCAACATTGGAGCATGTTAAGTGTGTAGCGAGCATACACCGAAGCCCAGGGATCATCATAGAAGAGGAGGTAGGAAGGATGTAAGAACCAGAGGATGGGGAGGAGAGCTGTGAAATGCTGTGTTCTGAACATGACATAGATGCTGCAACCATAAACTCAAGAAGCTATGGTTACCTATACACAACCCTGTTGTGGGATGGTTTGTATATCAAATCTGTTGCTCTGATTGGTCAATAAATAAAACACTGATTGGCCAGTGGTCAGGCAGGAAGTATAGGTGGGACTAACAGAGAGGAGAATTAAGGGAACAGGAAGGGAAAGGGAGACACTGCCAGCCGCCACCATGACAAGCTGCATGTGAAGACGCCGGTAAGCCACGAGCACGTGGCAAGGTATAGATTTATATAAATGGGTTAATTTAAGATATAAGAACAGTTAGCAAGAAGCCTGCCACGGCCATACAGTTTGTAAGCAATATAAGTCTCTGTGTTTACTTGGTCAGGTCGGAGCGGCTGTGGGACTGGCAGGTGAGAGAGATTTGTTCTGACTATGGGCCAGGCAGGAAAACTCTAGCTACACAACCCATCTAGTTACAAGTCCCAGCATGGATGAGGGAGAGACTCGCCAGGGCCCACCCCTAACTGAGAAGTTGGTGGCAATTGATAGCTGCTAGGGGAGGCAGAATCATTCTTTTTTTTTTTTTTTGAGGATAATCCTATTGGTAGGTTTCTCATCCTCTAGTGAATGACCCCCCCATCCCCCACCCCCATGCACATGCACACAGCATTAACTGGACTCAGTGGGTTATAAAGAAAAAAGACATGGAGTTGGGAGGGCATATATTGTGGGGATATGAGGGGGAGTTGAAGGGGGAAATGTAGAGTAGATATAGTTCATTGAATGTATTTCAGAAATTCTCAAAAATAAAGAAAAAATTATAACTAAATTCATACTGAATGGATTCTGAATAAATGTACATTTTTTGCTACATCCGAAACCACCCTATCTTTGACTTACAACCAGAGTCAGCAAATGTACAAGGGTGCAATGTGTTTCTTTCAGAATGTACAAAGGCCTAAGCCTAACCCCAAGGGCTGTGTAGCCCAGCAAAGGGGGTGCCTTTTGGTTCTATTAAAGGGCTAAGACAGCTGATCTCACCCAGGCCTCCAGGGGACACATTTACTATATCACAGATGGTGACAGGATCTCCAGCCTTTGTGAAACACAAACATACATAGAGATGTTTCCAGAAAAGGCTAGATGAGCTCACTTCCTGAAGCCAAAGTCCAGGGGACAGCAAGACTCCACTCCTGGCCCAGGGAACCCAACCACCAGTCAGTGATCAGCGTGAACATCCAAGGGAGGATGATATGGATTATAGTAGGGGCCCACTTTTCCAATGGTATCCAAGCAAAGCACTTCTCTCATAATCAGCCATCTTTAAAGATGTTACGGAGGGCTGTTGAATTTGGAAATTGAAGTACACACTAGTAGATCATGGGGAGGGCTTGTGGCCAGCTGCAGCAAAATCTGTTTGCCAGACAGACAAAATGAACACAAGTATAGCCATGGTTCACAGATGTCTTTCCATTACCCCTCCCAGCCCCCCGCCTCTTTAGCTAATCCCCCAGATGCACAGAACATGAAGCCAAGGATTTTACCTCCCAGTTCAATCATTAGACAAATGCTGTTCGCTAATGTCTACTGCTTTAGTCCAAATTAAAAAGAAACCCAGATGCCAGATCAGAATCAACTCCACTTAAATTTGTGAGTTAAAACAATTGTGAGTTAGAATGATTTGTTTCCTTGAGCGCTTTACCCCTAAACAAAGCATAAGGAGAATGGAGTAGGGGGGGGGGGAGGAGCTACAAATCTGGATGAGAAACTGAAACCAGATCGGTAGCTGATGAACTTGAAAATCCACAGGCAACATGGACCCCACGTGCAGTTACATTCATATTCTACAAGAGTATGATAAAATTAATGTGTTGGGGCATGGAGAGAGGGATGGTTCAGCAGTTAAGAGCACTTGATGCCCTTGTAGAGGAGCAGAGTTCAGTTCCCAGCACCCACATTAGGCAGCTCCAGGGGATACGATGCCCTCTTCTGGCCTCTGTGGGCGTTGCACTCATGTAGCACGCACACGCACACATACACCACGATACATATACATACATAAGTAAAAATTAAAAAAAACAGGTAATAATAATAATAAATAATAAAGAGATAAAAATAACAATAAAGCAAGAAGAAAATAAGTAATGTGTTGTACAGCAGGCCAAGTCATGTCATGCTGTTGGGACACTACTGCTCGACCAACAATGCTTGTCCTAGTTAATTATTAGGTTTATCTACATTTAACGCAAAGCTAAAGTCTTTTGTTACATCACAGTTGACACAAGGCAAGTTCCTCTCACATGTTATATTCCAAAGAAAATTCCAGAATGTTTTTTTCTAAAGTTCACAGTACTTCTTTTGAATGTCTCTTCTTTGCTACAACCTTACATAAGATATCCAAGATCCTACCATGTATTCTCCACCCTTTACGCTCTTTTAATTCTTTTTTAAACACCACACTCTATTTCTGGGGAGAAACAAAGTGATAACTTTGAGGCTGGTACCACTTTATACTTAGAGCCTGTCTGTCTGGAATAGCTCCTGAGTTGGCAGAACCATGTTCTCCATCCTCCCTGACAACTGTCGCCACCATTTGCACATTTGCTGAAACTGTGAGGTGTTTAAAGACCCGATTGTGAAGTGGCTGATTTGGGGAACCCTCAGTGGCCCGAAGCATGTGGATAAACCCTCCATGAAGGCTAAGGGATCCTGACAACATCCCCGGCTCATCTATGACAGTCTGGGAGTTTCATTAATATTAAAAAAGAATGTTTTATGGTCCTGGGGAGATGGCTCAGTAGTTATAGTCCTGGAGAGATGGCTTGCTCTTCCAGTGCAGCCTAATTCAGTTCCTAGAACCCACATCTGGTAGCTAAAAACCATCCATAACTCCAGCTCCAGGTTGATCTGATGCCCCCCTCTGGCCTCTGTGGGTACTGCATTCACATGCACACACCTAGACATAGATACACACACACACAATTAAAAATAAAATAAATCTTAAAAAAAATAAAGAACATTTTCTGGGAGATGTCTTAGTCAGTAAAGTGTTCACCATGAAAACACAGGGACCTGAGTTTGATTCGCAGAATCCATGTAAAACAGATGGACATAGAACAAGTGTGGTCTCTTGATCCAAATGCTAGAGGGTGGAGAGAGAAGGATCCTGGGATCTCATTGGTCAGCCAACTGGTCTAACCAGCAAGCTCCAGGATAGTAAGAGACCCTGTCCCAGAATAAAACCAAGGTAGGCATCACCTGAAGAAGAACACCTATAGTTGACCTACAGCCTGTATATTCATGGACATACACATGTACACCCACCCCACCACACACAAAATGTTCATAATTAAGTGGACAACCATAACCATCAAACTAGCCCTTATATTTCACAGTAAGAACACAGCATGTGACCATCTAAAAGGAGCTCCATGCTAGAGGCATAACAACAGCCAGGCTGGACCTCCAGGGCTGCTGTAGACAGATTTGGGAACCTGCTCACCTCAGAGTAAAGTGATCCTCTGTACAGTTCCTGGAGATGGAGATGGGGAAGGTGAGTACATCTCCTTGTCGCACAGTCTTGGGGACATAATGAACGGCCACGTTGCTATCTAAACGCAGTTCCCTCAGAGGTGGACTGCTGGGGGTTTCGCGAAGGAAGACACTCCCAATTCTGTGCAAAGGTGGGCTGGATTCATCAACGTCATTGTGGCCCATTGGAGTGCCACCTCCTTTCCGTGAGTCCTCCTTGGTACAGTCCCCTCGCTCATCCCCTGGCTGTACAGCATAATATAGTTCCACAGGGCTCCCCTCTGGCTGCTCTGTGGGCCTCCTGCGCCCAGAAACAACTGTAGGGGGACTGAACCAGCCAGGCAGCATCTCCAGCTGGGCCACACACAGCCCCAGGGCCCCACCCAGCCGGCAGCTGCCCCGGACCTCCCTGGTCTCTCTAAAAGCAAAGACCCGCAGGCAGGGCAGCTTCTCATCCCTGTGATCATCCCAGTCTCGGCCCACGATGTGGAAGAGCACCTGCACTTTGGGATGGCTCAGGTAGACCTTCTCCTGCAAGATGTAGGCCTTCAGCCTCCAGTTGAGGGAGAATGTGTTGGTGAATCCAAATGGGTTGGAAGGTAGCATCAAATCCTGGGGCACCACCTGCTCAAGTGAGAAGGGCCCGTAGCTGGCGTTGAGCGCCGGCAGTCGCTTGGACTTGTAGATCAGAAAGGACTCAACCCGCGACTGCAGGCTGGAGTTGCGCATGATGTCCTGGTTGGCCTCCTTCAGGAAGAAGGACACATCGGCGTTGTTGATGTGGTAGGTCACCGGGAGGTAGGTAGGCAGCAGTGAGAACCGCTGGATGCTCTCCAGGATCCCTCGGCCTTCCGTCACTGTTGGGAGGAACCGAGGGCAGGTGTTAGTGATCCTGGGACACCAGATTTGTAGATTCGGAGAGCACATTGGTGACCGCCCACCACCCACCTTTGGACCCGTGATGCTGTTCCGAGTTATCCAGTGTTTCTTCTTTGAATCAACTCAGTGTACAGAAAATATATGCAAAGGGGCTGGGGGAGATGGCTCAGTTGGGGAAGTGCCTGCCACACAAGCAGGTGGGAAGGAATCCCAATCCCCAGAACCCATATTAAAAAGAAGCTAGCCGGGCGGTGGTGGCGCACACCTTTAATCCCAGCACCCGGGAGGCAGAGGCAGGTGGATCTCTGTGAGTTCGAGGCCAGCCTGGGCTACCAAGTGAGCTCCAGGAAAGGCACAAAGCTACGCAGAGAAACCCTGTCTCGAAAAACAAAACAAAAAAAAAAAAAAAAAAAAAAAGAAGCTGATCAGGCTGGGGGTGGGGGGGCTGTGGCAGCTCTCGGCAGTTAAAGGCTAGGCTCATAACCAAAAAGAAGCTGAACACAGTGGTACATGCCTATACGTCCAGGGCTGAAGAGACAGAGACAGGAGGGAGGATTCCTGGAGCTCACTGGACAGCCAGGCTAGCTTCATCAGTGAGAGACCCTGTCTCAAAAAATAACATGGGGAAAGATTGAGGAATACATGTGATATTGACTTCTGACCTTCACATGCACATACACATGTGTGTGTGCACTAAGAAAACATGTCTTAAGTAAGTATGTATATACACATGCTTGTGCACACGATAGATGAAACAGATGTGTTGTGTAGGTATTTCCTCCAGACTGGAAAGGTCCTTCCTAGGAGTCAGGATGCCCATGAAACTCACAAAGTATCATAAGAATTCAAGACACATCAGGACCTGTCCAAGCTTCTTTAGCTGAAAACATTGCCTAGAAGAGAATATTATCAACCAAGTCTGGTGGTGTGCACCTTTAATCCCAGCACTCAGGAGGCAGAGGCAGGTGGATCTATGAGTTAGAGGCCAGCCTGATCTACAGCGGGAGTTCCAGGAAAGCCAGGGATACAGAGAAACCCTGTCTTGGGAGAAAAAGAAAAAGAAAAAGAAAAAAGGAGAAGGAGAGACTATTATCTTTGATGGCGGTATCTGCAATTTGTGTCCAAAGTTCCAGGGACAGAGCTTTAGTGGATTGTTACCCATATGGTGACCACTCTGTAGTGATGAAATTGCCTTTTGGTCACCTGTGCTTCTAGAAGTAACCCTAATCAACTTGTGGGTTCACCAAGCTCAATTGGGTGGAAATTCTTTTTTCCTTTGGTTGCTGGTGTCCTACCTGGGGTGAAGAGACATTTGTTTACATCTCCACAGGGAAAGCTACAGCACAATGTCGCTAGTGTTTGGTAAAAAAAAAACTTTGTCACCTGACACCCATAAATGTTGAATGTGTAAGCAAGTAAAACTCAAACAAAATCACTTTTTCCCCCTGGGGATAAGAATATCTTCAAGGGGCTTAAGCCTTAGAGTATAAATGAGCAGGAAGCCTGGAGGTCTAATTCCCCAAACTCACATTAAAAAGGAGCTGAGCATGGGGCTGGAGAGATGGCTCAGAGGCTAAGATGGCTGCTCTTCCAAAGGACCCGGGTTCAACTCTCAGCACCCACATGGCAGCTCACAACTGTAACTCCAATTCCAGAGGATCTGGCATCCTCACACAGACAACATGCAGGCAAAATACCAAGGTACATAATAAATAAATAAATCCCTTTTTTTTTTTTAAATAAAAGGAGCTGAGCACAGTGGCACATGCCTTAAGTCCAGGGTTGGAGAGATGGAGATAGGAAGATGGCTGGAGTTTGCTGGACAGCCAGTTGTAAGATGTAAATGTAGTAAGACCATTTCTAAATGGTCTTATTAAATAAGAAACACAGAGCCAAATACAGAGTTAAAGCCTAAGAGATCAGAGCAAGACCACGACTCCCTTTAGCTCATCATTCACTGTCATCCTGAGAGAGAGAGAGAGAGAGAGAGAGAGAGAGAGAGAGAGAGAGAGAGAGAGAGAGAGAGAATATACCTGCCTTGCTGTAGACCACAGCAGCAGCAGCCAGTGGAGCTCAATCAGTGAGCACCAGGATCAGTGAGAGATCCTGCCCCAAAAAATAAGGTGGAGAGAGATTGCAGAAAGTGCCTGATATGGATCTCTGGCTTCCATCCTTTTCATTTTTTGTTTGTTTTTGCTAGAGAAGATGCCAGCAAGGGTTGAAGGGGCACTAACATCTCATCAGATAAACAATGGGTTTTCCCTCAGCCAACTAGATAGAACAAAGTGGAACTGAAATAACCTTTTCACAACACAGTCTGATCCCCACATCTACATCATACCTGGTACTGTTTCTGATGCAACCTCACACCCCTCATGGAAGGACAATTGTCCAGAGATGATGAAGAATAAGGGACAAAGACACATATGATAAGTGACCACAGTCACACAAACACCATGCCCTCTCCTGGAGTGAAGCTAAGGGCAGAGAAGAGACTTGGAAACTGAGTTGGTGAGAGTCCTCCAGAAACAGGGAATGGACTGACCACAGAAGGTCTTGGTCCTTTGTGTAGCCTGGACCCTCAATCCTAGAATGAGAGGCAGCATCTACCTTTCACTACACCCACATCCTGTGAAGACTATCCTGTCACCAATCAACAAAAAATATTTTCTGTTTCTCTTTAGGGAACATATCCTTTTTGGGGGTGGGAGTGGAGTAAAAAATCCAACATGTCATTTTTATTTTTTATTTTTGGTTTTTTTAAGACAAGGTTTCTCTGTGTAGTTTTGGTGCCTGATCTGGATCTCACTCTGTAGATCAGGCTGGCCTTGAACTCACAGAGATCTGCCTGGCTCTGCATCCTGAGTGCTGATATTAAAAGTGTGTGCGCCACTACCACCCAGCTCCAACATGTTATTTTTATAGTTGTCTTAATTTCTGTAATTAAAAACCCAGGCAAAGAAATTACACAACCCATAAAAGCCATTTAGAGAGCTTTGGAACAGGGAGCCACTGGCCTGAGTAACCCCTACTGTCCAGGCACCATTATACCTGCCTTACTGTAGACCACCAGCAGCAGTTACATGATGAACCCTGGTTACCCTGGTTATTTGGAAATGTCACTGATCATCCCTCCAATAACCTGCCTCAGCTTCAGTGACCCCATCCCCAGGAAAGCACTCCCCAATCACAACACTCTCTCAAGTCTGGAACCACATCTATCAGGAGCAATAGTAGACAGCCAAGAACTCAGACAGTTCCTGGATTTGCCACATGTAGCTTGTGGGATAATCAGCAGGGCGCCAATCCTCCTTGCTTCTGAGAGTCAATCAAAACCACAGTTCAGGTCAGAGAACACAGAAGTTAGGCTACATACAAGTTTATAGCTAGGTCGGATTGACAGACACCTGGATTCAGGCCTAGTTTGCACACCAGAATGACAAAATCTCCGTGTCTAGCGTCATTCATTAGTAAGCTCAGGGCAGGGCAAGTCCCACATTTATGTTTAGACAAACTATCTGGAATTGTTAATGCATGTGTATTTGGCCTGACCCAGTCGGTAATTTTATAGGATACAGCCCAACGAATGTGACTTTCTTTTTCAAGTATCAAAATATGTGAACTGGGAAGATGGCTTGGGGAATAAGCTGTTTAAAAGTGTAAAATCTGGAGTTCAGATGCCCCTGTACCCATCTGAAAATACCAGGTGGACACAGTGGCCTGCCTGTAATCCCAGCACTTGGAAAATAGGGTCAGGAGATCTCTGGGGCAATCTGGTTAGCTAGAGTAGGCAAGTTGGTAAGGTCCCCCTTCACCAAGAAACCCAACCTCAATAAGGTGGGTAGCAATCGAGGAAGACACCAATATCAAGCCTGTGCACTTCCAAGCACGTGTGCCCACATACATATCAACATGCATACATGTACACACACCACACATACATAAATATTTTTCTTAAAAATCAAGATACTATGAATGTTGTAACTGTAACTCTCAACTTGATGGAGTTAGAATCATCATGGAAATAGAAATAGACATCTGGTAGACCTCTGGCCATGTCTATAAGGATGTTTCCAGAAAAGTTTAACAGAGGAGGGAACACCCACCCTAAATGTAGACAGCTCCATTCCATGGGCTTAGAAAGGAGAAGGCAAACTGAGCACCAGCATGCATCTGCTTCCTGGCTGCAGGTACGATGTGGCCAGCTCTGTCATACTCCTGCCGCTGTGCCTTCCCACTGTGATGGACTGCACCTTCAAACTGTGTGCCCAAATAAATCTTTCCCTCCTTAAGTAACTTTTGTCTGGCACTGTGTCACAGAAATGTGTAATGTCACGAACACAGCCTAATAAGATGCCTTACCTGATGAAGCATTGTATGTTTTAATGTTCTAGAACTGGCATCTGATTTGTGTTTTCCCCAAACCCCATCTAAAGATCAGCACAAAGAGCAAGCAGGCATTTTCTGTGTGTTCTCTGAGAGGAGCTTCCTGCTTCCCCCCTCCTCTTGGGTGCCATCCCCACCCCCACCCTCCATCAGCCTGGTTACAATCCAAGCCAGGTCTGCTGTAAAACCTGTCTTTCTGGAGCACTCACTGACAGTGCATCTCTAGGCTATGTCCTCACATGTGTCCTATACAGCACCCACATCCCCCATCACTCGGGGCTTCCCTGTGAACCTCTACAGACCAGTAGGGTGTACACCATCTGATAGGCATCTTGTGTGGTCCCATAGTACGTGGGGTCTTTAGAACAGCATCCAGAGACTGTCAGACATTCGGTGAATATTTGATAAGCAAATGGGTGCACAAACGGATTATGCATTTTCTATCCTAAATAACAGATTCTATTTTCCACCAGGATTTTGCAAGAACTCTTCTGTACAGCATGACTGTAATCGGGATTACCCAATGCTTTCATGCCACTGAGAGCACCACATAATCTCACTGACAGATTGGAGAGGAGAGAGAGGCCCCTCC